TTAGCAGTCTTTTCACGCAAATGTTAAATGACGGATCGTATGCGTCGATGAGTGTGTTCCTGGTTGCATTCTTGGCATATTTCGATATACGTACAGGAACTGCAGCTGGTATTATATCATGTCGTGAAGCTATGGCCATCATTCCCGGTAATTGCACAATACTGTTGTACTTGCTTTGTTATTAATTAAAAGTTTTGTTTTTTTCCATCGACGAGTAGCATTATTCAGTAGCTTCGCATTCAAACTAATATAAATATACTCACTTTTTATTCCGCCGAGCTCCATTTATCGGCGTTTTGAATAAGAAATATGGAAGTAAACCATTGGTTTTATTGGGAGGACTGCTTTGCAGTATTGGTCTGTTTGCTAGTTCGTTTGTAAATAACTTGGCGTTGTTGTATTTAACTTTTGGTGTGATGGAAGGTAAGTAACACATTAGTTGTTAAAGAGTAAAACTATGACTATGACTATGACTATGAATTGATTAATTTTTCTGCTGGAGTATTTTTGTAATTGTAAATATTGTAAACTTATCTACTTGTATATAATATAATATATATACAGACTTCATGATTGATTTAAAAATTTATAAAAGTGACTCTCAAATCGGTGTATACGGGAAGTATAAGAACTATTCTCAAAAACAAATTATTATAAATAGGCCTTCGCATGCAATTCGATTTCTGATTTCTGATATTTGTTTTCAGGTCTTGGTAATAGTCTAATTTATGGGCCAAGTATTGTGATTGTTGGACAGCATATTCAAAAGCGACATGCACTTGCTAACGGGATGAGTTACGCTGGAGCTGCTCTCGGGATGATTGTTTTTTCTCCTATATATCAACTTTTGATTACTGAATATGGCTGGAGAGGAGCACTCATGATCGTATCCGCTATAAACATGAACATTGTTGTCTGTGGAATGTTGATGAGATCACCACCAAAAGTTGATAACATGGGTCCTAACAATGAAGGCTCCATATCTGAAGACGTACATATCGATACTGGCAATATGTGTTCACAACAAACACAATTACCAATCATTTCTCAGAATCGAAAACTAGGACAATCAGGAACTCGCACAAAGCAATCACAAATTTACAATGTGCTCGGCTTGAACCTCTTCTGCCAAAACTCGGCTTTCTGCGTTCTGTGCATATCAGTGTTTTTCATGGGGATTGGACATTTATTAACTATTGTCCATTATGTCAACCATGCCGTGACTATGGGCATTCCGAAAATGAATGCATCAATACTGATGTCAATGATCGGCATTAGTTCTCTTGTTGGAAGATGTACACATGGATTGTTTGCGAATTTGAGATATTTCACTCCTATGTCAGTGTACGTGTTCAGCACAACAGGGGCGGGAACTGTGTTGATGCTTCTTCCACTCACGAAAGGAAACTATTATTATATGGCAATTATCAGCTTATTGTTTGGATTGTGCAGTGGAACTTACTTTCCCCTTGCTGCCGTATGTGTGAAACAAGCCGTGGGTGTCGATAGTTTTCCAAAAGCCTTTGGGTGGTTTGTGTTATGTCTTGGTACTGGAACAATTTTAGGTCCTTATCTTGGAGGTATGTGTAAAATAAATTAATTCTTAGAGGTTCTGTGTTTGTCAACATATTTCTATAATATTTACTGAAGGACATATGTTACCACAACAATACATATAATATATGTCACATACAAGTGAAGTCGTACCTTCACTTAAGATACAGAAACA